ATATAGAACATTGAATTCAACAACAGCAGAATACACATCCTTGTCAAATTCACATGGACTATTCTTCAATATGGATCATATGTTAGGCCACAAAACAATTCTTAACAAAATTAAGATTTCAATTATATGAAGTATCTTTTCTGACTACAATGATATAAAACTAGAAATCCAGAGAAAAATTGGAAGAGTGAAAAATATGTTGAAATTAAACAACAATGCTATACTTGTATACTGCTTCTGCACCGCCCCCCAAAAATCATATGTTGAAACCGATGGATTTTGGAGGTGGAGCCTTTGGAATGTGATTAGGATATGAGAGGGGAACGCTTATGAATAGAATTACTGTTTTTTTTAAAGACCCCAGAGAGCTCCCTTGATCCTTTTACCATCTGAAGTCACAGTGAGATAATAGCCATCTATGAACCAAGAAGCAGATCCATACCAGTCACCAAATTTTTTGGTGACTCAATCTTGGACTTTTCACCCTCCAGAACTGTGAGAAATACATTTATGTTGTTTATAAGCTATCCAGTTAATGGAATTTTTGTTATAGCAGTCTGAACAAATTAAGATGAACACACTCCTGAACAACCAATGAGTTTACAAAGGAATCAAAAAGCAAATTTAAAAAAATCTTGAAACAACCAAAGATGGAAACACAACATACCAACATCTATGGGAAACACTGAAAGCAGTACTAAGAGGGAGGTTATAATGATAAATGCCTACATTAAGAAACAATAAAGATCTCAAATAAATAATTTAACTTTACAGTGCAAAGAGCTAGAAAAATAAGAAAAAACTAAACCTAAAGTTAGCAGATGAAAGGAAATAATAAAAATTAGAGCAGACGTAAAGGAAACAGAAAAACAATAGAAAATATCAATGAAAATAAGAATTGGTTTTGGAAAAGATATAAAATATGACAATTGTAGGCCAGCTGAGTGGTGCGTTGGTTAAGAACTGGCTTGGGATGTCAGAGGGCCCCAGTTCGGATCCCACATATGAGGGCCAGTGACGCTGCCCTCTGCAGCTAGGATGCTGAATGGCAGCTCGACCTGGAGTTGGGCTGCTGTGGGTCGCCGGTGATGGCATAGGATGCAGTCCCCTGCTGCAGTGGGCTGCCATAAGCTACCATGTGTAGCCAGCAGCCAGCGTGAGCGGCCAGCAGCCGCCGTGAGCGGCCGTCCAGAAGCCGGCGACTGATCTGCCTCACCCGGGAAGAGCTCAGTGATGGTGCCAGCTTGGGCCAGTGGGGTGATGTCCTCCACAGCTAGACTGAAGAACAAAACAACAGCAGCTTG